ATTCTGATTGGCTAAATAGTATTTATATATACCCTAAATTTGGCGCATTTGATGTGAAGTGACTTGGTGCACCATATTAAAAATATCTTATACTAATCTTGTGCTACTTTAATCTTTTAGCTAATTTGTGCTACTCTAACCTTTTACACTAATTTCACTCAACCCTAACTCTAATCTTTTTAATAACCTTTTTCTAACCTTACTCTATCTCTAGCATTAGCTCTAAGAATCATCACATTAAGCAAAAATATCAAGAACTAAGCCCTATCTGAAGCCTATGATTCAAATCATAATTTGATATCATGGTCAAGCCTGTGAGCTTAGAATTTCACTAATGCATGAATTATGAAGTTACCAAGTTATAAAAATTATACAAGAAATTAAGTATATAAATTATTTAGTAATTGATAGTATTAGTAGTAAAAGCAAAAAGAATATTTTAAGCAATAAACCTTCTTTAATAATTAGTTTGTTCAGTTCTTTTTTTCTTAAAAACCTGATCCTGGCTAATTTATTATGCCAAACTAAAGGCACTCAATACAAAATTCACAAGATACCCCAAAAAAGCACCAAAAGCAATATTGAAATTGACAACAAGATACTTGAGATAACTACTAAAGTTACACAGAAAATGCCCAAGAAAGTTAATAGGACACCCAAAACAAAATCTACAACAAGAAGCGACAAGACTTCTGAATTAACTATGAAGTTATACAAGAAATACTTTTAGAATACCCGAAGCAAAATTTACAACAAGACACTTATTAAATATACCCAAAGCAAAATTTACTCTGAAATGTATCTGAAGCAAATTCAGAACAAGACATCTCTGAAACAAACTCAAAATTATCAAAATCAGTAGCAAGATTCCATGAAGCTACATAGAAAACATTTAAAAAACTAACAAGGCATTTCTAAAATAAATCTGAAATTGTCAAAATCAGTAGTAAGACACTATGAAGCTATATAGAAAACACCTATGAAAAGGGGGCATCCATAAATAATGTTATGTACCCTACATAGTAGCTCTTGACCCCCCTAGACTATATAAAAATTTTTTAAAAATCCATATATTTTATATATATAATTTTACAAAATCTTGAATATATTATGACCCGGTAATCCAATCAGGATGATTTTAGTACCATTCGATTCATCACCGTGAGAGGAATCCAATGGTACCAAAATCATTTCATTTGGACCACTGGATAACGTTTTATTAACGAAATACGATTAATTTTATAGTAATTTTATAAAAAAACATAATAGCCAATAGTATTTTGTTAATAAAACATGATCCAGTGATCCAAATTAAATGATTTTGGTACCATTTGACTCCTCTCCTCAAGACAATTCGAATGGTACCAAAACATCCAATTTGGACTACTGGATCAAATTTTAGACAAATTTTTATAAAAAAATTGCGTTATGTTTTGGAGGACCTTCTCTAAATATTGGAAAATCGTTATATTTTGGGACCCCTCCTCCTCTCAAACATAATGTTATTTATGGATGCCACCAAACTGACAAGATACCTTTGAAACAAATATGAAATTATCGAAATCGGTAGCAAAACACTATAAAGCTATATAGAAAATATCTAAAAAAACTGGCAAGGCCAAAACAAATAATAATAAATTATCTAAAGTTAGATAAAGAGAAAAAAATCTAGTACAGAGATGTGGCAACTTAGTATAGTGGTCTAGTCATTACTCTCTCCAAGTGGCAGGTCTAGAGTTTAAATCCCACTGGCGACGATATTTGAAAAATAGACCTGTGTTTCGGTTAACGGCTATACTTATTGGTTGGATCTAATCTGTAACTTTAGTTACACCATTTAGTAATAGGAGCTTTGGTGCAATAAACCCGAGGAATCAGCATAAATGAAAACCCATTTGGGAAGTCCCGAATTTGGATGTAATAGCGATCTTTGACGGTATTACAAGAGGACTAAATTCGAACAGGGTCTGAGATTAGAGAACTAAGCGACCAGGTCCTATAGCAGAGGACACACTAGCTGAACTGCCGGGTTGTCACACCAGAGGAAAAGGGCATATGCTCCAAAAGTATAAACCAAGAGAAGAGTATCCTTCAGGCACCTAAAGCCTAAGCAGACCAACCCTTCTGGGTTGCTGGCTAGAAGTAAGGGAGGAACCAATAAAGAATCCGGATAAGGAGCTGGTTTTAAATGTGGGTACTGGGGTTGTTGTAAACCAATTAAGAGCAAGGAGTACGTAATGGAATACTAACTAGGAAGGTTGTGGCTTGAGATATGGATCAGGTTATGGCAGTACCCTAAAAGGTAGCTTAAGATACGGACTTGGTTTCAGCAGTACAACAAGTACTAATTAGGAAGAAGTTGCTGAATATACAAGTGAATACATGTGTGGGACATGTACCACTCTGTTGGGTTTACTCTTGAGAATAGTTAAGTGTTCTAAGATGGCTGATAAATGTAGTGGTGTTGCAAAATCTACTATCTATATAGTGAGTTACACCTGCATTAGGTAGGATTAGGCCGAATATGTTAAGACCAGAGTATTTAAATAGGTACCCTCTAGTTGGGGTGCAGGTACGGCAAATAGTGTAGAACCTTCAGGTGAACTACTTAAATAGGCACTCAAAAGGTGCACGTGTGGTTTGATGTACCTTCGTCATAATATATAGTATTTAATACTTGTCTAATAAAATCTTGCTGACAATTAGAGTCACCTTTGCAAAAAAAAAAAAAAAAAAAGGAAAAAATCTAGTACAATAAGCAAAAAGCTTATATTTATCTAAAGATGTCAATCTGTATAATTGGTGTTTGAAAAAGTGAAAAAAGAATGCTATATTAGTGAAGAAACCAACTAGAAAAAAAGAGCAATTAGTATTAGTTAAAGAGAATAAATAAATAAAACAATAGCAAAAGAACAGAACAAATTAGTATAGTTCAAGAGAAAAATAAAATACAGTAATAAATAGAATAAATAAATAAATAAATAACTGAATAAATAAATAACCGAATAAATAAATATAGTATTAAATAAAAAATTGAAATGAAAAGAAAAAAATCAAAAAAAAAACAAAAATAAAGAAAACAAAATCAAAAAAAAAATAAAAATAAAAAAAATAAAAAAATTACAAACAAAAATAAAATTAGACATGAAGCAATTAAAAAAAACCTCCAGATATACCAGATAGAACCAATACTACTAGCATATAAAAATCTAGAATTTTAATTAATTGTGCAGATTTTTATACAAAATTTGCAAAGATCTTAAAAATTCTATTCTTTATAGAACTTTACAGGTTTTTTTAAAGTTCTACAATAATTTAATAAATTTAATTGATAATTCTCCAGTTAACTGAAGAATGATCATAGTAAAATATGATTCAGATTACTATATAAATTTACTATAGTGCGAATATGGTAATTGCCCAAGGTAAACTTTTTTCATACTAAGTTAATCACCTTTCTTGCTTAAAAGACTTTTGTAAAGCTTGTCAAAACGCATCTAATGGCAGTTATAACATCAAAATCGGCCTGGTGGGTGCTGAGATATCTTTAAAAAATCTCTTTTTTACTATATAAATTTCTTTGCATACTATTGTTTGCAAAGAAATTTACATAGCAAAAAAGAGGTTTTTTAAAAATATCTTAGTACCCACCAGGCCGATTTTGATGTTCTAACTACCATTAGATGCGTTTTGACAAGCTTTACAAAAGTCTTTTAAGCAAAAAAGGTGATTAACTTAGTATGAAAAAAAGTTTATCTTGGGCGATCGCCATATTCACACTATAGTAAATTTATATAGTAATCTGAGTCACATTTTACTATAATCATTTTTTAGGTGACTGGTGGATCATCAATTAAGATACAAATATAATAGCAGCAGTATACAGATACTGTACAGATACTAGTTAAAAAGAAGTTATCAAATATATAGATAAATACTTTTTGTCTAATTGAAATTTCAGTCATAACTATAAATATCTGTTGCTTGAGTATATACTTGATCTATTAAAATCACAGATGCTATATATAGCAGAATTCTACAAATTAGAAAGTTCAAAATCTGTGATATATTGTTATACAACCTTTCTTATAAAATGTTTCTGCTATATAAATCTCTGTAAATAAGTCCTTGTAAATGAATTGATTCAAGATCCATAGCTATACAGTATAAGATATTTAATTTATCTTTTTATTTCAATTTTGATACTTTTACTAGATTTTGCTATAACAAATTTTCTGATGCAATTTGTATAATAATAATATAGTTACAACAACATTTCTTAATAGTTCAAAATCGAAGAATTCTTGTAATCAATTTCATAGTAATTCTTCAATTTCTAAATAAATTCTTGTTTATTTGTTTGAATTATAAGTACAATATTTTCTAATTCTATTATACCAACATACTGTATATATAGTTGCAAATTTCCTCTTCTTATTTCTTGGATAATTGTAAGCTTAGTATAATTAATCTAAAATAATTTAAATCTTTCATTATCTAATATTCTTTTAAGTTCAGAATTAATATTATCTGATGATTTATTAATTTTTAAAAGACTTTTACATTTTTCAAACTAATAATTTGCTTTCTGAATATCTCTCTTTGTACTAATACTATTTTTATACAATTGAGCAATATTTTTTTATTATTTTTTTTTTGTTAAGTGTTCAGAGACTAGAGTTTATTGATGTTTTAGATATAGAAGATCACAAGGACTCTCATACAAATTGCATTTATAGTATCGAATTTAATCTAACTGGTCCATACCCGACATATATTTTACTCTAGTACCTTTTATATCCAGCATGCTATCTACTTTATCTATATTTGGTAAACTAATTATCTTACCTAAATGGGCATAGACTGCATATACCTACCCCAACCCTTCTGTATTCTACACACTCCAGATTAGATATCAGAGATGTTACACCTTTAAACCAAAGTTAGTATTTGGGTGTTACCTCTACACATCTCCTGCTCTTATAGAGTTCACATCCACCCCGATGCCCACTTCACTTCTCTTTTAGGTCCTTCTCCCCGGCTTAATATTCAATCTCAGTTAGTTAGCCCGAAACAAGATCAGTTTATTCCGGCTTTATATGCCCTTGGACTCTGAACTCCTGGTATGTGATTTTGTAGCACACGTCCTTTTCCTCTAGTGCGACTCTGGCAGCCACTCTGATCGACCCCTCACCTCTAAGAGGTCCAGTCCGAACAATACCCTGGGACTGGTGCCATCCAAGTTCTATTCCGCAGTATCGTCAAAAGCTTCTGTTACATCTCTACTCGGGTCTTTCCAAATGGGTTTTCAGTTATCCCGGCTTCTCATAATTTATACAGCATTGACTTATCATAGAGTTTGCATCTGATAATTACCAGAATGCATTACTCTGCATAACTTGTACACAGATGCAGAGCCTACGCTCTACCACTTTGTGATAGCTCACTTCCCATTCAAGAATGGTGTTATCTAAGATTACAGATCAAAGATCCAAGCTATTTTTGAGATAGTTATTAACCTTACACAGCCTAGTATTTGAAATCATCGTCCGTGGGATTCAAACACTAGATCTGCTGCTTGGTGAGATGACAACTAGACCACTTCACTAAGTCACCACACCCTTTAATTGAGCAATATTAAACATTACTTATATTAATAGTTTTTTATACAATAATACAACTCTTTCTGTCGATCACCATACCCAAATTCAGAGCTAAAGAAACTTTGCAAAACAGTCAATATGTACTAAATTAACAACTAAAGTAGCCCTAAGGAAAAAGATAAAGCAAGAAAATCAACTATAGTTACATAGAACAGGTTTACTTCCCAACAATTTGAGCTCATTATACTTAGAAAAATTTGAAATTTTTAAAAAAATTTTTAAATTTTTTAGAATTCTGGGGAATTTGTATTTACCTCTGTTTATAGATTGATTATTACAAAAAAACAAACATATCCAAATTAGGCAAACAACAAATAAAAATAATACTGCTAGAAAATCAAGCAACAAAACAAATATTTTTGTGAATAAACAAAACAAACAACTACATGTTCACTGTTATGTGTTTACTTATAACAAAGTAAACTTTTATTCTAGAAACTTCAAGGAGAAATTTACACAACATTCGCTTAACACAAAGATAATATACCAAATAGTGAATATATAGATTTAATACTAATTAAAGATATTGTCTGGGCACAAAAGAGCAAGCAACAAGAATTGTATACAAAACAAAGTAAATTCGTATTAAACATAAATTGTGCCATAGCGAAGTATCTGGGGTATAAAAACCCAGAATTTATAACAACAATCTGTAGCATATTAGAAATTTATAAATGAGCTCTATGCAAAGTTAACCAAGATAAAAAATTATCAACTGAAGAACAAGTACTTATTGGCAAAGTAGTTGAGATTACAACAAGTATAAAAAAAAAAAGAACCAAGCTAAGTAAAGGAAAAAAAACTAGAAGTGTTATGTACCTTGACAAAAATAGAGCTCAACATACAGGAAAAAGAAACAAACATTTGTGAAGAAAACTTAAAAAGGAAAAGTGAATATACAGATGATGAGAAAGCCCTAATTTCTAAGAAAAAAGAAGAAGCAGTATTATCAAGACTAGCAGAAATAAACCTAAATGAAAGCAAAATTAAAATACTGAAGAATAATAATACTGAGAATGCAGAAACTAAAGTGACATTAGTATGTACAGAATTTGGACAAGAAGACTATGTGACTCATGAAGTTAAAGAATAGATAGACATGGTTAAGAAAAAAGAAAAACCAAATAAAAAAGAAAACAAAGTAGAAAATAGTCCACATTGAATAAAAGTAAAGATATTTACAAGTCCATATAGACACCTAGTAATAATGCAAAGTAGGAGCTTTCATCAAAAGGAGAATATGTAGATCTCAGAAAAGAAGTGTTTGACAAAAAATTAACCTTAACTATCTGGGACTTACCTATATTAGCAAGATTAGGAAATATAAGAAGATGCTTAAAATAGTATAAAGTTTTAGTAAATATTGAATAGCCACTACTACAGAATATAAAAAAGCTGCATATGTTAGATTTAGATATACAAATGAAGAAAAAAGACATAGTCTTCAAAATGCATGGGCAATTCATTACAAAGTGGGAAAAACAGCAAGAGTAACAAGTGACAGATTTAATTTAAAAGAATTGAGACTTAGAAATGAATTCAAGCTCATATTAAAAGGAGTACTACATAATGTATGTGATACAACATTACTCTTTTATCTTAATAAACTTAAAGCAAAAATGGTATACATACTAGACAATAGACATGGCAATCAGAGAGAAGCAGCTTTTGTATATTTTGTGTCATTGTCAGATCTGCAAAAATCAAAATCAACAACTCTATATTACTATAATACTAGATTGAAATAGGACCTAGCTTTGGAGAAAGTAGTTCCTATAAAAATAAAAAAAATCAGAAAAAAAAGGAGAAAACAAAAAGAAACACAGATGATACATGAAGGTATTAAGAAAATAGAAATCAGAGGCACAAAAAAAGTACAAACACTAATAGAGTTTTCGCAGAGAGAAAAAGAAATAACCTGTATACTAGAAGTAATATTAGAAAGCCCTTCTCTAGTATAAATCACATAAATCTATTACAGATATCAAAACATGCATCAGGCTTAAACAGTTTGCCAATAATTGATAGAAAAGAGAAAAAATCTTCGACACAAGAAGAATCTAGATTAAACAAAATCCTTGCAGACTTGAAACAAAAGTTTAAAACAACAGAACAAATAATTGCAATGCACTCCAAAGTGGTGCCATTGGCATAGTAACAAATTCAGGCGAGACAGAAATTTTCACTTATGTTTTGAAAAAGCCCAAAATACATAAACAATGTGAGGACTCAATAAGTAAAAATAATTTTAAGTGGCTTAGAATAGGTTTTCATAATATCAATAGTCTAAAGACAAATGGGCAGAAATTAAGAAGTTTAGCAATCTTAGGGAAAGAAGAGTGTTTAGACATCATCGGGATTGCAAAAACTAATATGAATGAGATAGAAGGTAAATAGTTAGATGTAGAATATGAGGGTACTTAGGCTTTTGGTCAACAAAAGAAATAAATAAGACAAAGGGCTCAGGAGTAGGGGCTTTAGTTAGTCAAAAATAGACAAAGCACTTAGCTGTAGTTAGAAAGTACAATCTATATATGTTAAAGTTAGAGTTTTTCTTTAAAAAAGCAATTCTTCAGATATGGGTAATTTATTTGCCACCTGCAGATAAAAAAAATTAACAAAGAAGTGCAATGTATAGTAATACAAGAAATATGTAAGAATAAGGTCGACACATATATATGCATACTCAGAGATTTTAATGCAGTGAGTAACACAAGATTAGATACTAGTAATTCAAGTCACAAAAATCAAACTTTAGAGAAAACTCTTTTAGAATGGCTTAGTAATAGAGAAATGATAGATTCTTTTAAATATTTGAACTCACACGAAAAGGAGTATATATGGCAAAAAGATGAAGTGGCTTTGAGAATTGACAATATATGGATTAGAGAAGAGCTGAGCATTTTTCTTAATGAAGCTTTAATTAAAGACATTAATTTAATAACAGGCAGCGATTACAAAATAGTATATGCAAAATTAGATCTGAGTAAAATACTTGGATATGGAAAACTTAACAAGAAAAACCAACTAGAAAAGTTTTTCTATATCATAAAGCAGAACCAGAAGATTGGAAGGCTTATAGCTCATGGGTAGAGATTGGAACCGTTTAACCATTTAAAAATTGCTCTATAGTTCTGGGCAGAATTATGTTGATTGTGGGCCGGAATTATTTTAATGCCGGCCAAACTAAACGGTTAAACAGTTAAACGATTAAATGATTAAGAAAAATGTTAGGCAGTTCCAATCCCTACTCATGGGTAGAGCATTCTCTTTCTGCAAAAGAACAAATTAGAATTGCAGAAACCTCATTATACAATATATCTATAGACATTAATGATGAATGTGACAAAATTAGTAGCTCAATAATAAGTGCAGCATTAGAATATATACCCTGGATTAATGTCAAGAAAACTGAAACACAGGAAAGAAAATCAGTTCCAAAGTCAGAAATATATAGAGAAATTAAATTTTTATATCATTTGCAAAAAAGAAGCAAGAAAAGCTCAGGAGAAAAAATCAATCTCGATGAGAAAAAAAGTTTAAACATAAGAATTAATAAAATAAACTAGCTATATCAAACACAGATTGTACAGTTGCCAGAGTGGTAAAATCAAATCCAACTAGTAGAATTAAAAAACTGGATAAAATTCTGAGAAAGAAAGCAAACGAAGAAGAGAGTAAAAAAAAAAAGAGAAATTTGTGAAAAGATAGAACTGAGATTTGGTATGATAAAAAAAACAAAAAGAAAATGCTCCAGAGTCTTCTAAATAGACCATATTATAAGGTTACAATTGACAGAGTACTGGTAGAAGAAAATTCTAGAGTCTACAATCTAGAATTGATTAATGATGAAGAAGGTATAAAATGTCAAGTAATTTCCTATTTTGAAGAACAGTTCAGAAGAAGAAAACAAAAATTTAAGGAAATAAAAGCAAAGTAGAAAGAAGAATATAAGCCTAAAGAAGAAATTGACCCTAGAGTATATATAGGGATTACAGCTCTTTTCACACTAGAAGAATAAATACAAGCTTTGAGCAAAACTAAAAATAATACAGCACCAGGGATTTTGAATATTGGATACATTCTTTTTAAAAAATTATTACCCAAAGTGATTAAGAGAATTTTAAGTTTAATGAATGTAATTCTTAAACAAAGCAAAATCCCAGACAAGTGAAAACTCAGACAGATATATCTAATCCCAAAAAATAGCTCTTGGTAGTACAACCTGAGCAACACGAGACCCATAGTGTTATTAGAAACATGTAGAAAAGTTCTAACATGAATGCTTCAGGCGAGATTGGATAAAATTCTAAGCAAAAATAGTATATTGAAGGGAGCAAACTTTGCAGGCCTGTCTGGAGAAAGTATATCAACCCCTATACATGTAATAAACAATATTATAGAAGAAGCTATAAAAAGAAAAGGGTGCTTAAAAATAATTGAGATAATATTAGAGTTATACAAGAACAGACAGCTTAGCATTATAACAGATTTTGGAAATATGGATTTAATAAAAGCAGGGGATGGTATAGATCAAGAAGAGGTACTTTCTCTTTGGTTTGGAGAATTTTTTATAATCCTTTGTTATGTAAAGTACAAGAAGCCAGACTTGGCTATGAAATGCAAAACGCAGAACCCTCTATAAAATCAGACGACAACAATATTAGAGTTGGTGTACTA